AGCCCCTGAGAGAGACAATATCACAGGAGCAGTGCAGACTGGAACAAGAGCTAAGAGTCAAGTATGAAGAAGAGATTGGCAGGAGAGAGACAGAGCTGAGAGAGGAGCAGAGGAGAGGAGCAGTAAGACACCAGGAGGAGCAGGCTCAGAGAGAGAGGGAGCTCACAGAGGGAATTCTGAATGAGATGGTGGAATGGAAACAGAAATATGAAGAACTGCAGAGGGAAATGGAGGAGATGAAAAAGAGATCTACAGAGGGACAAAACAGGATGGAAGAGGAGCTGAGCTATGAAGAGCAGTTGAGCAGCAGAGAGAAAGAACTGAGGGAGCAACATCAATGGAGGGAGAAGAGGAGAGAAATGGAGATGAATGCTAAACTGGGAGAAACAGAGAAGGATGGAGCAGCGATCAGGGACCAGCGGGAAGATCAACTGCAGGAGAAAGAGAGAGACATCAGGGAGGAAGATAGCAAGCAAATAGAGGAACTGAAACTCATGAAGAGAGAGGAGGAGTGTGGAGGAGAGAAGGAACTGGAACGACAGCTGGAAGCGATGAGGAGAGGTTGGATTGACCTGGAGCAGAGACATGGAGAGCTCCAGAGCAGGGAAAAACTCCTGGAGAAGAGACTGGAAGAGAAGGTCAGGGAATTAGATGCACTAAAAAAGGAATGTAAAGGAAACAAGGACCAAAAGCTAGAGGAGGCAAAACAGTCATTAGCAGAGGAGAAGATAAAAATTGAGAGAGTCCTCAGCGAGCAGTTCCAGCAGGAGTTGGAGGAGTTGAAGCAGAAACACCAGAAAGAAATGGGGAGACTCCAAAGCACTCTGGACAAGCTCCTCAAATCCAAAACTGCACAAGAGGAACTGAGGACGAGCATTGAAGAACAGCAGACGGTCCTGATAAGAAAGGAAGACAAACTGAGGAGTCTGAGAAATACATTAGACCAAAAGTATCGTGTCGAAGAGGAGAAGGTGGAGCAGAAATACCACAGAAGGGTCGCGGAGCTCAGAAAGACTTTTGAGCGTGGGGTTCCCGGGGAAACAGATCAGCCGAGGAAGACAAGGGGAAGCGGGAATGGAGCAGAGCCGGAAGGAAGACGCCGCCAGCTTGTAGAGTTTGCAGAGCCTGATGCCGAGTCGGAGAAGCCTTGCGCCGAGAGTCTGACCCAGGAAGCAGGGGTACATGAGCAGCGTGGTCACGAGGAAGAAGCGCTCAGGAGAGAATATGAGACGGAGCTGCAGCAGCTGAAACAGAAAGCCGAGGAGGCCAACAACGAAGTCCGGATGTTGCACAAGGAGAACGAGCTCGAGCGGGCCCGAGTGGAATGCCTCCAGGACAAGTATGAGAAGCAGTGTGAAGAAGCCAAGAAAGCCCGAATTAAGTATGACGCAAGTTATCGGCAAGCGTGCGACCGAGTGAAAGACATCGAAAAGAAATATAAAGAAATGCTGGAAGAAAAGGAAGAGGTTCTGAGGAAGCTACAGAAGAAAGCGAAGGAGACGGAAAGTAAGGACCTGTGTGAGGACGATGAAAAGTGCAAGCAGGAAACAACAGCCACGGAAGACACTTTAGCAGAGGAGAGGAGCAGGATAGAGAGAGTCCTGAGAGAGGAGCTACTGCAGGAGATGGAGGAGTTGACCCAGAAACACGCAGAGGAGATGGAAAGGCAGAGAAGGGAGGTGAAGCTGAGGTGTGAGGAGGAGCACAGAGACAGAGCAGAGACACTGAGGCTTCAGCACCAGCAGGAGAGCAGCAGAAGAGAGACAGAGCTGAGAGAGCAATATGAAGAGAGAGAGAAAAGGAGAGAGACAGAGCTGAAGACAAAACTGGAAGAAGCAGAGAGGGAAAGAGAAGCAATCAGGGCCAGGTGTGACGAGGAACTGCATGAGAAAGACAGAGAGCTCAGGGAAGTACTGAAGGAATTAAAGCAGAAATACAAGGAGCTGCAGCGGGCTTCCCAGCACAGTGAGAACGAGGACAGAGGAGATGTTGAAGAGCGCATTCCAAACCAAAGCTCACCGACATTGGAGGAGCTCACCAACATTGAAAACGTGTGTGTAGCTCTTCAACGGGACTGCGAGCATCAGACTATGGCACTGGCTGATAAGGAAAACCGTCTGCTCTTCTTACAAAGCGAATTATTAAACTTACGGCAGCAGCAACAAGCGGAAATGGAGAACGCTAAAGAGAAATATGACAGCAAATGTCGAGGGAAAGTAGCGGAGCTCAGAAAGAGGTTCGAGGAGGACCCCATAAACAGGAAAGCTGTGCATCGTGATGAAGAGGAGAACGAGGAACGAGAAAGGCTTGAGAGGCTTTGCAGAGACATTAAGAGGTCGTACGAGAAGAAGCTGAAGAGAAAAGTGAAGGAGCTGGAGGAGAGGTACAAGGAGGAAGAGAGCAAGGTCACGCAGGAAATGGAGATGCTCAAAGGGGAAATCACCTCTGAACGCCAGAAAAAACTAATCATCCAGGAGAAGTATGAAGCGAAGTGCCAGGAACTCAAGAAGGCCAAAATGGACTATGATGCAAATTACAGAAAAGCCATTGGCAGAGCAGATGTCATCACGAAGAACTGGGAAGAAAAACTAGCAGTGGTGGAGGAGGAGCTTCGCCAACGTACTGAGCAGTTAAAGGATCTGAAGGGCGAGGTGAAGTCGAAGAGGGAGAGGGGCGCAGAACGGGGGAGAAGTGCTTCCCAGAAAGGAGACAGGACTGACAAAGGCCCTCCCCCAGGTAAGTTCAGAGAGAAATTCGATTCCGGTCCATTTCCTAATCTTGCCAAGCTTCTCTTCCCACCACCCTGTTTCACACTGCCGTTCAAGGAGGTGTGATGGTACTCTATATAGAACTGTATATAGTGTGTCCATTACAATAATAATAGTAATTCCTTACGCTTATATAGCGAAATTCTGGACACTCCACTCAGAGCTCTTTACAGGTAATGGGGATCCTCTCCACCCCCACCAGTGTGTCCCCAGCAGGTCAAGTAGCTTTGAAAAGACACAAAGCCCCTATTCGCACCACTTGAACTTGGCTTGTTCCCATTTAATTGGGTAGGTAAAGGGCAAGGCATTTCGGGAATATCATCTGGCAGGAAAAAGACATTTTAAATTAATTGTATTTTAGTACAGATTTTGTTGCCAAGTTCTACCAAGTGTTAAAGCTTCAAGGAAAATTCCTAATAGAAGGAAAGATTTCTGTTAGCCCAAAATCTAACACTATTTTTTTTCAAATCTGGTACACAAACAAACCTGTCGGACAGAGCGATCCATTTAATCCTGATTGATTATTTTGTTTGACGCAGGGCTGTCTGAGAGAGGCCCAGCTGAACCTTTGGCTGCTGGGGTGTCCGAGCTGAGGCTGGTGCTGCTGGGGAGGACTGGAGCTGGGAAGAGTGCCACAGGGAATCTCATCTTAGGAGGAAGAGAGTTCCATTCGGAAGTCGAGGGTTTGGCTGTGACCAAAGAGAGTGAGAAGAGGAGA